CCCTAACCCTTAACCTAACCCTTACCCTAACCCTAACCCTTACCTTTATGTGAATCGGCTTGCTGTAAAAGCGCTTTTTAAAGTGCCCTTTTTTCCCCGTGGTCGTATTTGTCATGCTGCTGATGACGTCAGGTACGCGCTTTAATCGGGCGCGCTTTAGTGGACCGCGGTTTTGATGGGTCACGGACTGTGGACTTTGCTTTTTCTTTGAAAATGTTTTGCTTCTCATCCAAGAAGCTTCTTCAGCTCTGAGTGGATGGTGGGGAGGATGCCAATGACGAGCTGCCTGAAAGGAATATCAATCCTTCCATTCCCCACCATCCACTCAGAGCTGAAGAAGCTTCTTGGAGGAGAAGCGAAATGTCTTCAAAAGAAAAAACAGAAAGTCCAGCTGCCTCTTGGAAAAAAGAAAAAAAAGCACCTTTGGGACTTAAGTAGGACTGTACCAATTTGGACTTTGGGGAAGAGGCCTGCTGGGGATACCAGGAAATATTCCGTGCAGAGGAGAAGCAAATACCTAGGTTTTTTTTTTCCTTTTAACTAATGCAGTAGTTGTCCTTAAAATGTTCGCTTTAATCAAAATTAAGAAGACCGTTTCCACAAGAATGGAAGCTGTCTTTCCCCTTTATCCCCAGCGAACTGAATGGAAGGAATTGGAGCCCTAAATGGAGGGATGGGATGCTGAGTTATTAAAAATTGAACTCAGTACTCCAGAGCATGTGCAGAGTACATTTCCATCCCCTGCAAAACAGCAGCCAAGGAGAGGGAACCACATGGCCTTCCAAAACAATCTCCCGTGCCGTTTCCCTAGTCTTTTCCTTCGTCCCCAAATTATAAAAGAGGGAGGGGAGGAAACGAATATAAACAACTGCCGGACTTTAATTCCCAGGAGGCAGCGGGGCGGGGCCGTCGCGACAGACGTGACGTCACCTCCCGTCGCGCCCTCTGACGTTTCCCGTCGCGCTTCAGGCGAGCGGCTGAGGCAGAAGGCAGGTGAAGGTGAGGCGTGAGGGGCTGGGACGCGTGTCAGCGGGTGTACACGTTACGCACGGCTTCTGGGGGGGGTTATTTCGGCCTTCCTTCGGGAATTAGAGAGGGGTGGTCGGGGAGAAGGCTGGGCTTTGTTTAAGGGCCCTCTACCCAACGCCCTTTTGCCCCGTGAGAGCCAAGCGGGGCCGCTGTGACATCTGCAAGGAAGACGCGTGTCTGGGTGCGTGTCTACAGTGCACGTATGCACCCAGGTGACGGCTCGGAGGCAAGTTACAGGGTGACGCGCCTGGCCAAAGGAGTTTTTGGTTTTGGGGTGATTTGGGGTGGGTGGGGCTTGTGACAGAAAGGGGGAGGAGCTAGTGGGGTGAGGCAGTGCATGATGGAACTCCTAGCATTCCCCTGGGCAGTGCATTATAGACCTCTACACACCCCTGGCAGTGCAGGGGATGATGGAGTTCCACAAGCTTCCCTGGGTAATGCATGATGGAGCTCTAGCATTCCCCTGGGCAGTGCATGATGGACCTCCAGCATTCTCCAGGCAGTGCATGATGGACCTCCGCACACTCCCCCAGGTAGTGCATTATAGACCTCTACACACACTCCTGGCAGTGCAGTGCAGTGCATGGTGGAGCTCCACACACTTCCCTGGGCAGTGCATGATGGACCTCCAGCATTCTACAGGCAGTGTATGATGGACTACCACACACACTCTCCTGGACAGTGCATGATGGACCTCCACACACTTCCCTGGGCAATGCATGATGGAGTTCTAGCATTCCCCTGGGTGGTGCATGATGGAGCTCGAGCATTTCCCAAGTGGTGTATGATGGACTTCCACACACCCTCCTGTGATGGGCTGGCTGCTGAAGCAAGGTCATGGCCCACACTTGAAAGTAAACCAGGAAGACGCTAATTGGGGTGTGTGGGTCTGTCTCACAAGAACAAAGAATGCTTTTCAACAGGAAATATGCATGTGTAAAGCTTGTAGCAATTATGGGTAGTTAGAAAGTTGATAAAACAAAGATTAGACAATTTGCAGACCTCAGCTAAAAGTTAGGAATAGAGATGGCCGGCAGCAAATGAAATGTGTATTAGATAAACCCTGGAGCATTCATTAGCCAAGGCTTAGGAATGGGACAGCTATAGACCAATAGAAAAAATTGTAGAATTGTTGCTAAAATGTTTATTAGAGGATATATTTTATTATTTCACTTTGTCCTGCCTTCTCCTTTAGTGAAAATGTATAAAGCTTTCTTAATCCTTTGTTCTTGGTTCTTGGACTTTTGACCAGGAACCCTTTTCCTTGGAGTCCTCCAATAAAAAGCAGTCAGAAAACTTGCTCCTCATGTCTGGCATCCATCATTGGCTTCGCCACCAGGTTCAGACCCGAATGGGGACAACACCTGGGCAGTGCATAATGGACCTCCATATCCCTGGGCAGTTCATGATGGACTCTAGCACTCCCCAGGCAGTGTATGATGGACTTCCACACATCCCTGGGCTGTGCTTGAGGGATCCCCCACCCCCAGGCAGTGCCTGATGGAGCATTTCAGAGGCAGAGAAGCCTCTCCTAAACTGAGTCATCCAGGTTGATTCAATGGTGGAAAATCTTGTCAGAGGGGAAAATGGTGGGGAACTTGCCTATAAACTTCTCTTTATAGGTGTCTTGTAATTCGAAAATATACATTCTACGAAGAGAAAACCTAAAAAGTGTTTTATATTAGAGTGATTGATGGCCACTTGTTTGTTCATGGTCGATTTCAAGTCAGATTTCACCACCTGCATTTTCTAATCTTGTCTATTTTCCTTTCCTTAGACCACTGCTTGCCCTTTCCAGCTCAGGAAAGAAGATGGTAACCATGCTTCACTTATGAAAACTCCTGCTTGCATCTTAATAGTAAGTGCATTAGAGAGGCATTTCAGAACTGGAACTGATTTGACTCTGCTTTGGGTGCTGCTAATGACTCCAATCCTCCACAGGGTAATTTTGGCAAGAAAGGCCTAGAGCTTTCAGAGCAATCTATATATACCGTATTGGTCAGAGAATAAGACACACCTTTTTCCTCCCTAAAAGAGGGTGAACGTTTGGGTGTGTCATACACTGAATGTAGCCCCACTCACCTGCCAGCCCCCCACCCTTTGGTCTCTGCCTCCTAGCAGTTGACCTCCTTGCAGCAAACGGGGAAAGGGGGCTTGTGGAGGTGGCAATATGCCATGGCAATCCCTGCAGCCTGAAACAACTGATGATTGGGAGGCGGGTGCTGAAATTGAAAGTGAAACTTGCTATTTGCTCCACCAGGCAAATTGCTGGGAAGCAGAGACAGATTTTTTTTCTTGTGCTAATCAGGCTCTTTTCTGCAAGGAGATAAGTCAATAACTATAAATGCCTATAGAATCTTCAAGTTATTAGACTTATTTTTTTTAAAAACTGCTTTATTATTGTTCTAGACAGCTTAACAAAATTAAGAAGCTTTTTTAAAATAAATGCTTGATCTGAAGAGACCCCAGGGCTATTGTATTTTCTTTTAAATAGCAGAAAATATTATACTACCAGAAAGCCACATCAATTTTAACAGCTTCTGTACAAGTATAGTCTGAAATATAAGTGTCCTGTTGTTTAATTAGACCCCGACTTAGTAATGTTTGGAATAGATCTATTTAAATAATTGAGAGGAGTTATGTGACTACATTTAAGAAAAATTTCTGGCATCAATATACTGCCATAATGTACATTTCTCCAATTCTTTGCTATTTCTATGAAATACACCACAGACAATGTATATTGTCTGTACTGTTTGCTGTTTGTTGCAAAGAGGCAAATTGCTGGGAGGCAGAGGCAGATTTTTTCCCCTTGTTTTCCTCCCCAAAATCTAGGTGCCTCTTATACTTCGGAGTGTCTTATACTCTGAAAAATACGGTATATATAGATGTGTGGGTGTGGGTGTGTCCCAGCATAACTCTGAAATGCCTCCAGCAGTTTCAACCAAACTTGGTACCCAGATGACTTACTCTCTGGAAACAAATACTGTGGGGGTAAGGCACCCCTAACACCCCTTGTGGTGTGTGTTCTGTAATGATACAGCCCATTGTGCCTTAAAATGGCTTCTACTGTGCAGCACATGGAGTTGCCATGGTAACGGCTTCACAGTACTCCACAAGAGGGGGGGGGGCTCCCTCTGGTAAGGAGGAAAATCCAACATTAGACATTAAGTTTAGTCCAGATATTTTCTCCCTATAAATAAATACCCGGGCAATGCTGGGTTATCAGCTAGTTAAAAATAAATATCTGCTTCCTTTTAACGTTCTCTCAGAAAGCCAGCCTTTTTTTGCTCCTACCGTTTGGGAAATCTCTTCAGTTCATAACGTACAACTTTTCCATGACCTCTTTAATGGAGTTAGGAGATTTGGCATTTGCCTGGGATTTAAGCGTGTTGTAGAAAATAGAGTGATTACTTCAGCATGCAGCGAGAACCAGACCTTGGTAGTAGGGGACTAATATGGCTGCTTGTTTACCTGGAGCATTTACTGGCATAAATGCTGCGTTGTAAACTGCTGTATTTTTCAGAGTATAAGACACACTTTTTTCCCTCCTAAAAGAGGCTGAAAATTTGGGTGCGTCTTATACTCGTAATGTAGCCCCACCCACCCGCTGGCCCCTACCCTTTGGCCTCCACGCGTCCTCTTCTTGGCTGCAGAGATTGCCAACAACAATGGCTTGTGTTTTTGGGTTCCACGCGTTGCGTTTTCAGCCTCCAAATGCTCGACACCCAGTGTCCAAAATGGCAACAGCTGCTGCCTTCTCTTACCCCTTCCCCGCTTTGTCTGCTTTAGTCACTGAGGCTCCCTCCGACAATCAGCTCCCTCCCTCCACCACCCCCAACCACAAAACCAGCGAGTGAACTAATGTGCTGAAGCTGACCAGGCTAAGGACTAGCCAGATGAATACCTGGTAGGCAGAATTCCCCCCCCCTCCATTTTCCTCCCCCAAAACTAAGGTGCGTCTTATACTCTGAAAAATACGGTAAGCCTTTTTCCTCTTTCCTTGCGCATAATCCATGCATTTTTCCCCCCCTTCTAGCACAATGTCCCTGCTGTTCCTTCGCTCCAAGTCCATCATCACTAGCAAAAAGGACAAGAGACATATGGCGGACGTCAGTGCCTCCCCCCTTAAGCATTTTGTCACTGCCAAGAAAAAAATAAATGGCATCTTTGAACAGTTGGCAGCTTACATCCAGGAGAGCTCCGTGTTTCTGGAGGGTGAGTTAAGTTTCTCACAGCTTGCTGACTTGTGCACACGAGTGGGTGAGTGCCTGCAAATCAAGAAGACCAGAAGCAGGGACGTCTCTTTAAAAGAATTATTTGGCTACCTTGAGGGTAGGATTGGAATCCGGGGCCCTCTGCACTTCTGATTTCTTTGTTTCTGACTTTTGGCTCAGTTCTTTTGTGTTGTTGGTTTTTTTTTAAACTATCCTTGTTGTCTTGATGGCGCTTATTGGTTAGCCATTTCCAGGATTTATTTTCTTCAAATAGGTTTATTAATTTATAATATGACATACAAAGAAAATACAAAAGCAAATATTGGGGGAATTGGGAAAGGAAAAAGAAAAGTGGATAGTGGAGGAAAGCAAGGAAAAAAGAAAAAAAAGGCATTGATTTCCAACTCCTTTGGTGCAGTAAAATAAGGCATTAAGATCTACCCTCAACTTTTTACATTTTCATAATAATAGAAACTAGCCATTTCTATAACAACAAATCTATCGAATTTGTAAAACTCAAATTCAAAGTTTCATTTTTTTCCCACCTCAAGCACAAAATCCAGAAGTGGTTTCCAAATACAAATGAAGGTATTTGGTTTATGTTCTTGTTTATGTAATACTGCCTGCTATAGAGCCGAGATGGCGCAGTCAGGCTGCTTCAGCTGACTGCAGTTCTGCAGTTCGGCTGTTCAAATCTCACTGGCTCAGGGTTGACTCAGCCTTCCATTCTTCCGAGGTGGGTAAAAATGAGGACCCGGATTGTTGGGGGCAATATGCTGACTGTAAACCGCTTAGAGAGGGCTGAAAGCCCTATGAAGCGGTATATAAGTCTAACTGCTATTGCTATTGCTATATGGATGCAAATACAAGTGAGGGGTCCTTGGTGCTCTCTGAGCTTGCTTGTTTTCTTACAGACATCTCATGACCCAACTAGGTAACATCATCAGTGCTAATGCAAGAAAACAAACAAGCTCAGAGAGCACCAAGGACCCCTCATTTCAACCTTGAGCTATAGATATTCTCATTTATTGGTAGCAAATAGAAATCCCTACCCAAAGGGGCTTATAATCCCAAATTGGGCTGCGAGGGAACAAACAACACAAGGAAGGAAAGAGTTGAATCAGTTATCCATCTCTCTGTTATCCACATTTCTCAAGTTCTACCTTTCTTTCCTAAATTTAGTCCACCTCCAGTCTTGCCATCCTCCATACTGGTGTGCTGAGCCAGCTAGATTTTGGTCAAGGTTTTCTGCATGGTTTGATTGTGGCAACTTTAACCAATCGAGGCAATGCAGGGGAATGCTAGGACTTGTCCACAGCAGGCAGAGAGTTTTGCCCATTCTCTTTTTTTTTAGCTTGACCTCTTTTTTTTGCTGGGGAAAATCTTTATGAAAGTCCTTTTTCTGCATTTCTTCTATAAGATCTGTCTGGAAGTGGAGATTGCAGCGTTCAAACCACTCGCCTCCCACATGTGATATATATATCCTTTTTTTCCAGAAATACACAAGAATGGTGAGCTTGACCCTGTCACCACAGAAGAGCAGGTGTCAGAGGTCAAGGGCTACCTGTCCAAGGTCAGCGGGATCAGCGAAGTGCTGGCAAGGCGACACATGAAGGTGGCTTTCTTTGGGCGGTGAGTCAGTTGCTGGTATTAGAAAAGATTCTATGTATTCTTTGTTGTTCCCAAAGCGGTCCCTTGAGAAATCCCTGCCTCTAGAAATCCGCTACCTTACAAGGTTGTTGTGAGGATAAAATGGGAGGAAGTGGCTCTCTTTTGTGTTTTGCATATTTTTAGGACGAGTAATGGGAAAAGTACTGTGATTAACGCCATGCTGTGGGATAAAGTCCTTCCCTCTGGGATCGGCCACACCACCAACTGCTTCCTGAGAGTGGAGGGGACGGACGGCCAGGACGCCTTCCTGCTCACCGAAGGCTCCGAAGAGAAGAAGAGCGTCAAGGTACAATGGGGGAACAACCCCAAAAATTGAGGATCAGAGAAGCTTGGAGAGGAATTCTATTCTGTGAACATGTACAGCTGCCGGAGGGTGTTGGTTGACATAATCAGGACTCCACAATCTTGGCAACTTTAAGACTCGTGAACTTCAACTCCCAGCATTCCCCAGGCAGCCTGGGGAATTCTGGGAGTTGAAGTCCATGAGTCTGAAAGTTGCCACGTTTGGGGAGTCCTTGAATAAATAGTGCTGTAGGTGGCCGATTACTTCAAAACTAGTTTTTTTTTTTAATCCCACCATTACTTACCTTCTCCAGTGGATTATTATTAAATTCTTGAATTTTTGAAACATCTTTGTAATTATTTTCTCGGCCTCCTTTTCGTGCATCAGACGGTAAACCAGCTGGCTCACGCCCTCCACCAAGATGAATTGCTAACGGCCGGGGGTCTGGTCAGCGTCATGTGGCCGAATTCCAAGTGCCCTTTGCTCAAGGATGATCTTGTTTTGATGGACAGGTGAGTGGCTGTTTCCCCCCCACCCCCAAATTAAAACGTTCCCTCTCTTACCCCCGGCCAGGAAAATTGCAAGCTCTTACAAGATTGTAGCTGATGTGCCTTTATCATGTGAATAAATGTGAAGTGGGTGGACTTTTACTGGGGTCTATAAAAAAAAAAACCTTAAGGTGGCTCAGTGGCTAAGACATGAGCTTGTCAATCAGAAAGGTCGGTGGTTCGAATCCCTAGCGCCGCATAACGATGTGAGCTCCCATGACTTGTCCCAACTTCTTCCAACTTAACAGTTTGAAAGCATGTAAAAATGCAAGTAGAAAAATAGGGACCACCTTTGGTGGGAAGGTAACAGCGTTCTGTGTGTCTTCGGTGTTGAGCCATGTGGGCCACATGACCACGGAGACGTCTTCGGACAGCGCTGGCTCTTCGGCTTAGAAACAGAGATGAGCACCGCCCCCTAGAGTCAGGAACGAATAGCACATATGTGCGAGGGGAACCTTAACTGGAAGGAGGGATTTTTTTATTATTAATCCATCATAGCACTTCTGATCTAATCTTTTAGAATAGGAAAGCAAAGTTTAAGTTTAAAACTCATACAGGATGGGGGAAATGTTGGAATCATTTCAGTGTGTAAATCATGTCAGTTCTTGCCGGGAGTCCTTGACTTATGACCACTATTGAGCCCACAAGTTATGTTCTCAAGTGAGACATTTGTTCAGCGAGTTTTGCTCCATTTTACGACCTTTTATGCTACAGTTGTTTAAGTGAATCCCTGCAGTTGTCAAGTTAGTAACAATGGTTACTAACCAGTAAAAAAGGGGGAAATCAGGTGACCCTGCGACACCGTCTGCAATCATCATAAATAGGAGTCAGTTGCCAAGTGTCTGAATTTTGATCATGTAACCGCAGGGATGCTGGGACGGTCGTGTGAAAAAAGGTGACAAGTCCCTTTTTAACTTTGAACAGTCAGTAAATGCACCGTTGTAAGTCGAGGACTGCCTCTATTTTAACAACTAAAATCAAAATGTAAAGCTCCTACAGGACGGGGAGGTGTTGGAAGAGAGAACACCATTTCAGTGTGTAAATTATGACGTCATTTCTCTCTCTCTTGTTCTATGTTAAGCCCCGGAATTGACGTCACCACCGAGCTGGATAGCTGGATTGATAAATTCTGCTTGGATGCCGATGTCTTTGTGTTGGTGGCCAACTCCGAGTCGACGCTGATGCAGACGGTAAAAACGTTGGTCCCTTTCATTGCCTGCCTTTGTTTTTCTCTACAGCAATGGCACTGAAGCTTATATGCTGCTTCATAGTGCTTTACAGACTCTTGTCTAAGCGACTGACAGAGTCAAACCTCTTGCTCCCAACAATCTGGGTCCTCATTTTACTCACCTCAGAAGGATGGAAGATCCGAGTCAACCTGCAGCCGGTCAGGATCAAACTGTTGGTATTTTGCAGAGTTAGACTGCAATACCGCATTCCAACCACTGGGAGGGAGGGAAGGAAGAAAGCAATAGCACTTTAGACTTACCGTATTTTTCAGAGTATAAGACGCACCTTTTTCCCTCAAAAAAGAGGCTGAAAATCTGGATCCGTCTTATACACTGAAAACAGCATTTTTTGCCTCCCGAACCCCCGCACCACCACCCCTTTCACCAAAATGGCCGTGCAGAGCCTCTAGGAAGCTTGTAGAAAGGTACTGGGGGCTGGGTAGGGCAGAAATGAGCAAAAAATGGCCTGTTTTTGCTCAATTTTACCCCTCCAGCCCCCCCCCCCCCCGAGCACTCTGCAAACTCTTTAAAGGCTATTCATGCCTTGGAGGGGAGGAACGAGGCCGTTTTCGTGAAAAGGGGGCTGTTTTGGGGAGATTTGAAAAAAAAATTTTTTTCCTCTTCAAAACTTTGCTGTGTCTTATACTCCGGTGTGTCTTATACTCCGAAAAATGCGGTATATACCGCTTCACAATGCTTTACAGCCCTCTCTAAAGCAGTCATCTTATTGCCCCCAATAATCTGGGTCCTTATTTTACCCACCTCGGAAGGATGGAAGGCTGAGTCAGCCTTGAGCCTGGTGAGATTCAGGCTGCCAAACTGCAGCTAGCAGTCAGCAGAAGTAGTACTGCGGTACTGCACTCTAACCACAGCATCATCTCGGCTCTAAGGATACTTACAGGATGCTCTTGGGGTTAGCATCAAGGCTCCTGAAATGCACAAAAAGTTGGTCTTTGCACATTGGTGAATTAAAAGGAAATGAGTGGATTTGCTTATTTTTCGGACTTTTTGCATCACTCCTCCTCAAAAGCTTAAGTTTTCAACTCCTATTTCTAAAAATACCTGGCAGGCACAGTTAGGGCTCCATTGACCCCACACTCCTCCTGCTCGAGAAACCTGAGTGGGGTGGCTCGAAAGCAGAAATGTTGGGTTATTGAATAGATGACTCCCTTGAAAAGATGATTCTTTTTTTTAAGCCAGCAACGTACAGTGGTAGCCAAAAAAGTGAATACAATCCTATAAACAGAGGCATAGAATCAAAATCCCGTGAAGTATTGGTACCACTTTATAAATCCTAAGTAAGGCCACACCTGGAATACTGCATCCAGTTTTGGTCACCATATTATTAAAAAAAAAACATTGTGAGACTTTGTCAAAAGTGCAAAGAAGAGCAGCGAAGATTATTAAAGGCCTGGAAATCAACACATGAACAGTTGCAGGAATTGGGTATGGCTAGTCTAGAGAAAAAAAGGACTAAGGGAGACATAATAGCAGTATTCCAGTATTTGAGGGGCTGCCATAAAGAAGAATTATGGGGGGGGGGGCTCAATTCATTTTCCAAAGCAAGCAAAACAAAAAACAATGGATGAGAATGAATCAAGGAGAGAAACAACTTAGAATTAAGGAGAAACTTCCTAACGGTGAGAATATTTTACCAGTGGAACAGCTTGCCACCAGAAGCCATAGGCACTCCCTGGCTGAAGGTTTTTAAGAAGAGACTGGAGAGCCACTTGTCTGAAATGGTATAGGATCTCCTGCTTGAGCAAGGGGCTGGGCTAGAAGACCTTCAAATTCCCTTCCAGCTCTATTCCAATTCTGATTTTTCCGAGCTAATTTTATGATCATGTTTATGGAAGGTTTTTTTTTTGTTATTGTTGTTGTTCCTTTTCTGCCAATCCAGGAGAAGCAGTTCTTCCACAAAGTCAACGCTCGCCTCTCTCGGCCCAACATTTTCATTTTAAATAACCGCTGGGACGCTTCGGCCTCCGAACCGGAATACATGGAGGAGGTGAGGCTCCCTCCGGTGTGGCTGGATAGGGAGAGCAGCCCGGAAGGAAGACCAGCCTTTCCTATCTAACTCCCTTTTTTGCTGCCCTCTCCTGCAGGTTCGCCGACAGCACATGGAACGTTGCACCAGCTTCCTGGTGGACGAGCTGGGCGTGGTGGACCGTGCCCAGGCTGGAGATCGCATATTCTTTGTCTCTGCGAAAGAGGTCCTGAATGCCCGCATCCAGAAGGCTCAGGGTATGCCCGAAGGAGGTGAGAGACCCTCTTAAACCAGTGTTTCTCAACCGTGGAGACTTTTAAGATAGCTGGACTTCAACTCCCAGGATTCCCCAGCCAGCACAGCTGGCTGGGGAATCCTGGGAGTCGAAGTCCACAAGTCTTAAAAGTTGCCGAGGTTGAAAAACACTGCTCTAAGCTCTCCCTGGTTCTAAATCCACGACCCCCTTCCTCCTTTAAAAAGCATGCTTGGCGTCGCTGCTGCCTTGTTCAAGTTTTCCTGGGTACCCCTGAGGACTGGAAACTTGGGGGTGGGGAGCGTGGGCCTATTTTGCTGTTCAAATCTGATGGTGCTTGGGGTTTTGTGTTCTCTGTAGGCGGGGCACTGGCCGAGGGTTTCCAAGTGAGGATGTTCGAATTCCAGAATTTTGAGCGGAGGTTTGAGGCAAGTGCATTATTAAGACGTTGACGTTTGTGAGTTTCCCCGCTTTTCGGAGCACAGTGGTAGCTTCTGACATATTTTCTTAATTTACCCATGAGATTTAACAATCGTGCTGTTTTAAAATTTATATTACGTGGCTGGGTATGCCTATAGCTCTATAGAAGACCTGTATATTTTAGCAAGCAATGGATTTTTTTTTGTATATATATATATATATATAAGCCAAACCCCACTCACTCATCACGAAATCTCCAGAACTGTAAAGCCTACAAACTTGAAATTTGGCGTGTATGTTTCTCTTGGCTTCTAGGTGCTCGCTAAGAAAGGATTTTTCAAAAATAACCATCAGATCATTAGTATTTCTTATACAATATTAACACACTTTGACGCTAAGGAGTTAGACATTCTACTCCCCCTCCCCACCTGAAAAGACTCTGTTCCAGTTGCCTTATATTAACATGCTCTTATGCTATAAAGTGTCAATTTATCAAGCCCAATAACATAGTTTCGTAGCAAAGCACGGGTATCCAGCTAGGTAATAATAGAGACACACACACACCTTGAAGAATCAAATAGCAGGCAGTGTGAACAGTATTATCCAGAGCACCTCAATAGTTCCATCTATGTATACTCTTTTCTATAAAACCTTTATCTGTGAAGTACAAAAACCATTGATCTGATTCTAGGACTAAATAATATTATATAATAATATAATATCATTAAGCAGGTCACCCTGCAATGTTCAACCCTGTGAAGCAGATCCCTAGTGCAGAATCCTAAAAGATCTCGGGTTTGCCTATTTTAATGGTGATTTAAGTTGCTAGTTTGCCTGTTTTGACGGTGATTTAAGTCGCTAGTCCTCAAGGATGCTCTGCTTCCCAGGTGGAATTTTCAGGGTCTGGAACCTTCTATAATAATTACTAGCCCAAGGGGGATCGATTCATGGCCTTGCTGCTTAAGGAGAAGAAAGGATGCTGAGTTTTTTGGTCGGAAGAGCTGAGGTTTGCCTTCCCTGCAGGAGTGCATCTCGCAGTCCGCCGTCAAGACCAAGTTTGAGCAACACACGGTCCGAGCCAAGCAGATTGCGGAGGAGGTCCGGCACATCATGGATTCCGTGCATGTGGCCGCGCAGGAACAGAGGTGCCTTGTTTGGGATTTCCTAGAGAACTTGTGAAAGTTGAAATCGAAGAGCAGAGCAAGGAGGCCTTTGGAGGAGTTCAGCTAGTTTAGAAACCTGGTGTTTTTGTCTCCTCTTTCCTTTTTTCTCCCTCCCTCCCCCCTCATTCCTTCCCTCCCTATTCATTCCTTCCTTCTCCCCCTCCCACCCTCCCTATTCCTTCCTTCCTCCCTCCTACTCCTACTCCCTCTCCTCCTCCCTCCTTCTTTATTCCTTCCCTCCCTGCCTACCTACTCCTTCCTTCCTTCCCTCCCCCTTCCTCCCACCCTCCTTATTCATTCATTCCTTCTCTCCCTTCTTCCCTCCCTTCCTATTTCTTCCTCCCTCCAATTCTCCTTCTTCCTTCCGTATTCCTTCCTTCCTTCCCTCTCTCCCTATTCCTCCCTCCCTATTCCTTCCTTCTCTCCCTTCCCCTTCCCTATTCCTCCCTCCCTCCTTCTCCTCCTTCCTTCCCTCTCCTCCTCCCTCCCTCTTTATTCCTTCCCTCCCTCCCTACCTATTCCTTACTTCCCTCCCCTTCTTCCCACCCTCCTTATTCATTCATTCCTTCTCTCCCTTCTTCCCACCCTCCCTATTCCCTCACTTCCTATTTCTTCCTCCCTCCTGTTCTCCTCCTTCCTTCTCTTCCTCCCTCTCCCTATTCCCTCACTTCCTATTTTTCTTCCCTCCGATTCTCCTTCTTCCTTCCCTCCCTCTGTATTCCTTCCTTCCCTCTCTCCCTATTTCTCCATCCCTATTCCCTTTTTATTCCTTGCTCCCTCCCATTCTCCTTCCCTTCCTACCATCCTCTCCCTTCCTTCCTTCCTTCCTTCCTTCCTTCCTTCCTTCCTTCCTTCCTTCCTTCCTTCCTTCCTTCCTTC